AAATTTTAAGTTGCTCTGGGCCTAAAGTTTTGACAAAGATTAGGAAATTTAATGTATATTTTCACACGATAACGAGTATGATAAAAATGCTATTTTCTACTATTTTTTATGTATCGAAAATTTCAATATAAAATTCTTAATGTATATATTAAATCTTCTCATTGAAAAAGAAAAATTTTAACATAAAATGATCAAATTTTGATTTGCTCTGTGCCTAAAGTTTTGACAAAGATGAGGAAATGCATATTTTCAGATGATGAACGAGTATGATAAAAATGTTATTTTATATAATTTTTTGTACATTGAAAATGTCAATACAATTAAATCCTTTCATACCGGAAACAAATTTTTCCCCACTAAATATAATTTTGTATTTAAATGGATTTACAGCATCTTCTTTGCGGATAGAATTTCACTGTTGACGGTGCGATAAATGTTAGCGTCGAATCAGTCCCAAATTTTTACAAAGACCCGTTCCATTTGTCGGCGAAAAGTATTCCGACAACGAGTTTCGTGAAATTAGTTTCGAGAATCGATCGAACGAAACGGAATTTCTGTTGCGGAACCATCATGGACGACCATCCGCCGCGCTTCCGGTGCGTTTATAGACCGACGAAACACTGAAAATTAGTCGTTTGGACGCTGTGGACGTTTACAAGTGTTCGGTCAACCAGTGTGTTGCGTCTATGTGCGTTTGACGAGTATGATTACTAAACGTGACCACGGAATTTCCACACGGGTCGACTCGAGCTTCCTGATGCGGGCTATTCCACGCAAAGTTGATTATTTCTCCATCCCGACGACATCGAAAAATGTTTAAGCCGCCATGTTTCTTTTTTATCGTCGAACTTAAAAGTCGCATCAACCGCTCGGTTATTAGTTTTGCGTTAGCTCGATCGTTTCTTCGAACGAAAGAACGAAAATGAAACGTATTATTGGTATACAATACGTCCATTTTGGCTCTTATCACTTTACCTTGTGAACTATCCCTCGGTCGTTAGACGTTATCTGTTCACCGGCAAAAAGCAACGGTACTGGCAAAATAGAATTTTCGTAAAGTGCATAAGATGATCTCCTAACGTCTCCTCGTTCTTCTCCGCTCGGATATTAAGGTCACTCTGTAATATAAGAATCTCACGGAAGGAAGATAAAACGAAACGGAATAAAGGATTCTCGGGCACGTCTTATCGTTGATTGTACTACTTTGCTCGAGCATCATTCTGCGTCCGACGGTTTCACGCGCTGAAAGAACAAAGAAACGAAATTCTGATAAATAATTTCAGTTACTTTTCTTCGACCCCGACGGACCCCGCGCGTTCGCCAGACCGATTATTTAATTGGCTACCTTCGAGATATTTTCCAATTTCCTCCCCCCCCATTCGGGGCTGTCGGAATAAAATTAACGAAAAATTTTACATTCAAAATAAAGCAGCATTAACGAACAATTTATCCCCTCAAAGGACCAAGTATTTATCAAAGTATGGCTTCCCGCACAATAAGAATTTCTTAACTCGATAAAGTTCCTCATCCTTTCAAAGGGTACGGATTATTAATTTTCAGTATGAAAAAAGTTTTCCAAACCGGTAGCTCCAACTTCTAAAACGTAAAAATAGTTGTTATTTCGTTATCAGTTCGATGAAAATATCAAAACTTCGATATATTCGGTACGTCGATTTACTTTTTGTGAAAATTTACGCGTTTCGAAATTTATAAAAATGGCGGACAGCTTCGATACGCCTGTTTTGAAAGATTAGAAAAGTTCGGGATTGGCGAAGGCTTCGAGGCGCCCACGGTTCCTCGGCCGTGTCTATGGTTACAGGAGGATTCCCGTTCCGCGATAGAAAACGAAATTTCTGAGGGAGAATGTTCTCTCATCGCCGGTTGCAGCTTATCACTGATCGCGGCAGCTTAGAGCGATTTTGAACGGAGTACGCTTTAAGCTTCGTCACGATAACTGGTCGGACGAAAGGCAGCGACGTGCATAGATACTGTCTCCTCGTATGGCAACGAGTGCTCTTTCTGTGAAATTGGATCCCGGCCGCGACGTAAGTTGCGGATAACGAGTACTTGGATTTAGAGATTTCGTGTCGGCGAGGAGGCGGAATCCGCGTAAAATCGATACCCGACGAAACGTATACCCCGCCGTAGGCGAACAGGTTCGATCCTCTCGGGAAGAATTCATTTCCTGCTTTGCGTGTAATGTTTGCCGCCTTTGCTACCGGGAAATAGTCGATGAAACCAAGTCGAATTTGCCGGAAGTATTTGCAAATAGACGGGGAACGCGATATCGACCATGGAATATCTATTGTCCGGTGAAATGGAAAAAGGTGTGTATGATGGGGGCCCGCTGGAATTCGTTAGTCCCGATAATTATACAAATTTCGTGGCACCGGGTAAAAGAAACATTTACACGAAACGTACCCGTGATTGCAGTGCACGTTTTGCCTTAACATTCTCCGAAATGAATTCTGTTCAACCCAACTAGATGTAAAATTTGTAACAAAAAATGGCACGAACGGGGGCTTTCATTTCGTACCGCGGAGCAATTTCACCCAGGAGCAAACTGAAATTTTCAAACAAAGAAATTGAAAAAGTACACTTCCCCCCCCCCCCAAAAAAAAAATTCAAGCACGCGTGGCGGAATCATTACTTGATTAAAAACAGTATCCCTAAAATAGGTTCTCTCCCGTCGACCAACGTTTTGTTGCAGCTCAATTCCCGAAACCCAATTAATTTTGTTTGAACGGTGCTTTTTCCAATTTAGCTCGGTATGCCTCAACCCCTGGCCAACCATCCACTATTCGCGCACACGCTGTGTACTCTTTATAAGAAGTAAAATTAAAACTTGACCCTTTCCGTGACCCAGATACGCAGCGTGTTTCTAAAACAGGCGAACAAACTCTTACATTTTACTCTTCGAAACAACGCCGAGTCTTGCGGTCGACAATCTCAGTCGATACGTTATTAAAAAGTTTTTCTTTACGAGAAACGAAAAGTCTTCGGCGAGCAAATTTACACTGGAAAGGTTAGCAGTGCAAAAATAACTGTTCTATCAGAATTAATTAAAGATGTCAGCCATTCTGCGAGCACCTCGCGGCCCGACAATAAGAGAGAAACGTTTCCCCATAACGGTTACGGCATAGTGTTGTTTTTTTCAGGGCCGTTATTGGCTCCTTTGGTAAGATGGATGCTGGAACAAAGAAAAATGGATGCCCTCGCCAGGGGCAATCAGTTTCCGTTTATCGAGCGTTTTAATAGGCAAGTTAAAAAATTACCTCCGATACTAGTGGCGCATCGACGCCAGTTAACAGGCCCTCGACTGTTACGAAGCCCGACAAAGACGTAGAATCGTTGGTTCTGTTTGGATTAAGAACAATTTGTCCAGGAAAAGAAATTCCTATACGCGTGCAGCGTCGATCGATTTCCCCTCGCCGATATCTTGTGTTTTAATAGAGTAGTTGGCGACAGAAACAGGCCTGGGAAAGACAGACTTGATCGATCATGCTTACGTGTTGTTAGGTGGACGAAGGTAGACAGCTTATACAGCCTAGTCGGGAAATAAGTTAATAGAAAGAAAACAATATCTTTTAATTTTGATAACTTATTGTCGAAAGACGCTTGTTTGATATCAATTTCCATAAAATCGAGAGTCTAGAATTCACCTAGGATAGCTGTGACGTATCATTTAGTTGTGGATATTAGTGAAATAGTAATTGTTTATGTGTGTTCTACAAGTAAAACCAAGACTAAATTGTTATATAACAAAAAAATCCATAAATGCTTTGTTAAGAAGTTACAACAAAAATATGAACTGTGAAAGATACGATATGTTTCTCTCATTTTAATACAGGATAAGACGGGATACGTACGTAGTGTCGATATTAACCCTTTGACTGCTAAAGGCGTATATATACGCTTTCACAAGTCTATCAATATATACGAAAGACGTAAATATACGCCCTCACGTATCCATCAATATATACGAAAAGCGTAAATTTACGCCCTCTGCATTTTTTTTACTATAACACCTTTTACTGTTTTACCAATTGATTCGATATGGAATTGGATAAAAATTGGATATTTTAATTTATTTGCATTTGTTATTTTTTTAAACCGTAAGAATGGTCTCTTAAATCTCCGGGTACTGTTTTGGTCACCAGTCGCAGCGACAGGCATGTGACGATCGCGCCATCTATGTTGATGGATTCTTCCTAGGACGCGCCGCAGTCAAAAGGTTAAGTAACATAAACATGTAAATTAGGATATATTTACTGTTTTTGTAACGTTGTCATGACTTCTTAACAAAGCATTTATGAATTTTTTGTTATTCACCTTATTTTTACTTGTAGAGCACAGTGCCTGAAGCGTGTATGGAACAAACGCGTAACACCCTGTATGTTTCTAGATAGATTGGGTGACATTATAAAATAAACGTTAAGAAACCAGCTATCACGTTAGTAACATCTCGAACAAGTGCTTCTCGAAATCAATCGCTACGGAAATTCCACCCCTCTCGAAAAATGAGACCGTTCAGAAACCATCCAATATTTTTCTCCGCTCCCTTTCTCGGCCACCCCGCCCCGACAAGAATAACTCGAATTCGCAGCATAGTATTAACATCCATCATAATACAATATTACAGCTCCAGGTATCTACGAATTCACCCCCTCGCGAAAATAGTCCTCGGATCTCAAAGCTCACCCTCCGCTGATCCCCCATCCGTCTACCCTCCCCGGAATTTCAGGAGAAACGTTTTATACGCTACTCTCCGGTTGGCACGTCGCCCTGGAGCGCTTTGTGAGAGCAGGGGGAGGAATGGGGCAAGAAAGGAAGGGTGTAGTTAATTAGTAAAAGCACGAACGAGGTGAGGCGACGGGGGGGAGGGGGGAGGGGGTTGGGAAGCTCGACGGCTGTCCCGGATAAAGGGATGAAATACGATCCATGCATCGTTTCATATCGGACGGAACCGATATCTCACTTGCAATTCAAACGAGACTCACGCGTCATGAATGAGGAACTTGTCGTCTTCTTTGTCGATGCAGATGCCCTTGCTGGTCATGATGGATCCGTTCACCGTCACCAGCTCCTGATTCCCCGATTCGAACCAACGGCCTTTCCACTCCGCCGGGAACTCGCAGTCTGTAACACAAAGACACACGCCCGTCGCTAGAGTCGAGAATTTTACATTTTTTTAATCTATTCGCCACGCGGTCGATAAATAAAGGCGCCGCATATAATCCGCCCGATGGAGAATATTCAAAGCGGGCGGCGGGTCCGGAACGTTGGAGGGGGTGGTGGGGCTCGGTCCGTGTAAAAACCGCTCGATCGGGTCTTTTATAGGGAAAGCGCAAAGTTTCGACGACAGTTGTGTTCCGTTGTTCTCTTCTTTTTTTTTTTCCTTTTTGTTCTGTTCACGGCGACTGGCCTGTATCGATGAAAGCAACTTCTATCTTTCTTTTTACTTTTTTTTCGGAAAATCTGGATGGTATTAGCCGGGGCGGATCGATTTTTTGAAAATGCCGCACCGTACGGGCGCGCCGGAAGGATAAACAAGACTTTCGCCGGAATTAGTAGTCAGCGGATCTGGGCTCGGACTGTTTCGAATAAATATTTATCCGAGACGATTATCCGAACTTCGTTTTAGCACGAGTGTTTTAATGCAAAGTAAACTAAATAATTTTGTATCAAAATGGTCGAACACTCTGTATAGAAATGTGCCAAGTGTTTTATATTTTTGTCCACTACTGTAAATACGAGGCCAGTCTCGGTCCAGGGCTCGAACAATCCTACGGAGCCGTTTTCGCGATTTACGCCGTACCGTATTTCAGCAATTCCGCCATACGTGGCCCACTTCCGTAGCATCGTAAACTATTCGCATAATTTTAGGTTGGTTTTATAGTTATGACACGCAGTGTATACGCTCCTTGACTAGGGTCTGCCAGGATTATCAGATTCGATGATCCGTATTAACCAATTGGGTCAACACTGTATAAGATGTACTTTACAAATGCTTGTTTAGTTTATCGAGGCCCGAATCGTCGAAGAGATCCTCGAGAATCGGCGCAGGTCGCGTAAAAAAATGTTGCAGTTTTCCATTTGTAAATTGAGCGGAAACGTGCTGTTCCGCTCGACGAGCCGCGCGTTCATCCATTCATCCAACGCGAGTCGGGCATGCTGGAGAGAACGTGGAGAGTCCCCTTCCTTTCGTATTCGCCCGCAAATCATCTTAATGCACGCGAACCACAGCGAATCCGCGACGCTGAGAGCAATAATATTCCTCATCCGCGCCTCCTCGCAATAACCCCGGAGTAATCGCGGCAACAAAAATATAGAGGAGGATTACGGTTTCCATATCTCAGGCGTCGCCAAGAAATCGCGGTAAGATTCACGAAACACTGGGACTTATTAAATACAAAACGCTACCAACAAACAATGCTTAATCGCGACGTTCCCTTCCCTGTAATCCGCCCCCTCGCCGCCACGGAACGAAGGGTTCGGGAGGAGACGAAGAACCGACGTTCCCTGGGGCTTCCAGGTTCTCGCCCCCGCCTCCTTACAGTTTGATAATCCGATCTCTCTAAGGAGATTCTCCATTTTTACAAGCTCGTTTCGGGTACACGTCGCCGAGGGTATTCGAAATATTTGCGGAATCTCGGGATTTCTGTTGCTCGGATGGAGGCACGAAGGCGGCTGCAGGCCGAGAGGAAACATGGTTTAACGAGAACCAGGGACGAAAGTCCGTGGGGCTCCCCGGGCTCCCTGTAAATTTGTTCCAATTGTTTAAAAGTACGGAAACTGGTAGGCGAAAGGAGATTCCGCGCGCCTTCCAAGGCGATTGTTCCTCGGTCCTGGGATTCAGCGAACCGTGCCGCGATTCCGTCGTCGACCATTATCGTCATTACTTTATAACATCGCGGCCCCTCTGGCATGTATTTTCTTGAGAGCATTTCGTGTCCCGAGATCGACCAGAGGGCGTGTTTCTCGTCGTTTGGATCGCAACGCTTGCGGTCTCCGATTCTTTTTTTACCCCCCTTTCTTTTCCTTTCGGGATAGCTTTGCTTGCTTTATTCTCGATGCTGGGACGGACGAGGTTCCACCAGTTCAGGGCGAGGACAACCCTGAAATTGTCCTGTTTCTCGATGTTGAGGATACTGGTGCTCGAAATAATTATGGGTTCATCCTTCTTCGATATTTATTTAAGAGAGATCTGTGGCCTCCCATGCTCGCCACCAGAGGGGTCGCGCTCTCACAAGCGCTCGAACCACTTCCCAATATCTCAGTCGTCTAAGGCACTGGATTTAATTTCGCTTTGTATAGTTTTTTTGCTGCCATTTTTCTATACAAAATATTAAATCTTGCCCCCAGTATAAGTAACTATTCTTAAAACTATCTTGTAAGTAGCATTAAGTGCGACGGACATTATTCAATGTTAAGATTACGCGAGCTCTATGTTGAGCCATTAGTCTAAATTGTAGTCCTAGTTATAAGTTAGCCGTTTGTGTGGGTGGATTTTTAGAACGTATTTATTATAATTGTATAACGTTGGTAAAAACTATTTTACAAGAAATGTATACAATAACAATGATTTGCCTCACACGTCTTCTCACTCGCAATGCTCGCTTACAAGTGACCAGTTTCACACACGTCCTTCTTTCGTTCACTCTTCAATCATAAAGTGTACAAACTATTCAGCCCATTCACTCGTGTCACACTCATCTCTCATACAAAATATCACTCACTTCATATCTATAACAACCAGTACCACAGTTTGTACGTTTAGGTTTATTGTACCCCCTTGTATATATATATTTACAATTGTTTTCTTGGCACAATAAACGTTCGTTAAAAAAAACAAAGTCATCTAAGGCAGGGCCTGCTAGAAAGCCTTACTGATGAGTCCACTAGCAGCCCCTCCTTTCCTTTTCTGTCCTCCTAGGAATATCACGAGTTTCTACCCTCAGCGAAGCAGCGCCACAGATCATTGACATTTTAACCCCTTTTATTTACCCCCAAACGGTAGACGTCAACGCACGGTAAACAGACCAGACTGATGCTAAACTGCTTTGTAACAGAGATTAGAAGAATCGTGACCAACCCTTGTGGCGTACTGATAGGAACTAAAACTCGATCACAATCGTGATTTGCTGCCCGCGAGTCTGGCTCGTGACATTCATGTTTGGGCCAAAATCTTCATCACGAGTCAGATTCGTTAAAGTACGCGAAGGGATTGATCTCTGCATTTGTATATTTTTGTCACCTGTCGAGGCTTCGACGAAGTCTAACACAGTTTGCTCAGAATCTTCTCCCAAACAGGTCGACAGAATTTTTGTATTTTGAAAACGCAGATTAAAGCAGAATCGTCCAAACAGTGAGGATATCACGAGACAGTTGAGAATTGTTTAACACGTGATCAAGCTTTCAACCTTTCTTTCAAACATTTATAACTAGACTGCGGATCTTTATGCAAATTCACATTTTTATTAATAAAATTAATGAAACGGAAGCTTTGCAGAGGGCTGTCTCAACCCCTAAATATAATAATTCGTATCTTACTTTAAGTATTTCTTATATTTTTGCATATTAAATGCATTCTGTAGTTTTTTGAGGATTAAAATTTCCCATAAATGCATAAACATCCGCCGCAGTCTATTTATAACAAATGATCCCTAATACTTATGTAGGATTTAACACTAGAACTACCGGCAATTATAGTGTGTTTATTTGTATCAAGTAAATTGAAACGATAGGTGCGTGAAGAAATGTATAATGCAATGGAAATAAGTGTTTATTCATTCTCTTATAGAAAATTACGATAAATTTCCAAAAATTCAGTCGAGTAAATTTTTTACAGGTTTTATTAGAAATTACGAATGGGTCATTTTGACTGGTTTGGTAGTTTTAGTGTTAACAAAGAGAATTGTATTTGAAACAACATAAACGAATTTGAAGCACACCAGGCACGCAATTTTTTTACACAAATTAATATCACATAAGAATCACGCTTGTCTCTCATTCCTTCTCCAACGAAACACTTTCAACCCTTTTGCACATAAAATAATATTCAACAAAATTACAGGGCGGCATAAATGTTCAATACAAATCTCCGACACTTAGAAATTTTTAAACAATGTTAAATTGCAAGTACACCATCGAACTACCGAATCTTTCAGCTTTCGAGATTAAAAGTTTCAACAAACGTCGAATGCGCTTTCATAAGTGAAAAAACAGGCAACGCGTTAACGAAACACGGAAGAAGGGTTGAAATAAAATTTCGAACGATCCCGGAATATTGCAACCGTCCCATAAACGACGAATAAATGTTTATTTTCAGCTTAAAGGACAATAATACGTAGGAATTAATCCGCGAGTAAATCCGTGGAAATGCGGAGGGGCCTCGGCTTCCAGCTTTCCGCCGTTTCTTTCATCCCTAATTATTTCCTCCTTCAAGCCGAGATAAACGGACCGCACTTAGCCCGCGGCGAAGAATCCCGAAAAAAAAAAAGAAAGAAAATCATCATCTCTCGAGGTAATCCGAACCACCCCCGTTCCGCCCAGCCCCGGCATCCGTATGATGCTCCGTACGTGCGGGTAAAAGTCGTGAAAGAGGGAAACGGGAGGAACCGGGAGGCCTGGAAAGAAGGCAGCACCCGCGATATAATTAGCAGAAATTGGAGTTAGGTCAGAAAGCAAAGTTATCGAGCCATGGGGGGGGGGTAAAGTTTTGGACGTTTCGCGCGAGGACCGCCGTTTCGCGCCGCTGGCTCGACTTTTTACCCGCGGCGTACCCCTGATATAATTACTAATTAATTACTGTTCACGGAAACCCTCTCGACTCCACGCCGTTTCAACGCGGCGGCTTTAAAAGGACACCGCGCAAACAGGGAGAACCGGGGTAAGGATAATTCCTCGTACTGTTCGAGGAAGGCAATGCCTTCCGTTTTAATAACGTTGCTCGTACGTGGCCGCACACCCTACGCCAATGGGACCAATTTTTCATCCTCTTTCCCTGCGCTCTCGAGCATCTGCGCTCTGCGCCCGCGTCTAATTGTTTCCCTTGTTTCCCACGCGAAAATGGAACACGCACCGGTCAAAGTAATTTGTAGCTCGCTTACAAGCAAAATGGCGCACCTGACCCACGC